CCACTCTGGTTGATGACGTTTACAGATATCCCTCAACCGTTACTATAAAAGGGCGTGCACAACACCCCAACCTTCAGTGGACTAGCTTAGTAAAAAGCATATGAAAGGTTAGGAAGCTCAACCTTACAGGACAAACGACCGAAAACAAGAACGCAAAACGACGAAGATCGAGAAGTAGAGAAAAGAAGAACGGAGAAAGAAGAGAACATTATTGAACTGTAGTAAAACATTGTAAAAGATCTCCTGCCTCGCATATAGAAGAATTAAAACTCTATAACACGAGAGTGACGAAATTTTGATGTCGCCTGTGCGACCCCGTGCAGAGTGAGATAACGTGTTATCTCATGGGAAGTAACAACTTTTATCCATTTGAAATTATGAATAGATATTTCATTGTTTACCTTGTAGTTTGGTCTTTCTTTGACAAGTAGTATATAATAAACAACTTATTTACCGAAAACTCAGAAAACATTATATTTTGTGGACCATCGACCATCGATATTTCACTCGGCTTTGCCTCGTGAAATATCGACAGTTCTCGGGTCAACAAAACATAATGTTTCCTTCGTTCGCAGTAATTAAGTGTTAAATAACATCCGGAATTTGAGGTTATTGCAAATTTGAAGCACAGTGAATTAAGTTAATGTCTTGTATATATGTGAAAAGTTGACTGAATTTGACCTGGAATATCGGTACTCTATATCTATAAATCTATATACTGCATAGTAACCCTAACGCATGTGCTTGGATTGAGACAGCGAGATTCAACTTTCTGTTATGTTGTCATGAATTTCGAAATCTAAGTACCTCCTACGTACTTAGGTACTTCGGCGTGCTGTCAACCCAATCCATCCTCTCAAGAGATCTGACGTTAAACATAACGTCCATGCATGATCCTGAATCTGTTGAAATGGCTATAATCAAGATATTGTTTTTGTCATTTCGTGTCCAAAATTTTATCTAACATGGACATTTTATCTATAATAACATGCATGTCCTTAATTTTATCTTGGCAAGTGTCATGAGGGAATTAATTTGAATGAGTAAAACGCCGTTTTTTTAACTACTTTATTAGCTTTTATTTCTTTATCATTGTACGAAAATTGCTCTCCAAATGGCGGTTTTGAATGGCGGTAAATACAGATTCATGGATACGGTTTCCCTGCCTTGAATGCGAACTTTACTCAACTAAGATTTTGTGAACATTATGATAATTATTTGTAATATTGGATGGGCTTTAGCACACAAATTTAAATTTGTATGTGGGTGGATTACGTGAACTCTCGAATAAAGTAGCTACTGAAGTACCGACTTGAAGTACAGAGGCCGGTTGTTTAAAACTCTTTACCAACATTTTGCATAGTCAAATCCTAGTTAACACAGAAATATACGAGTCTGATTGGCCAATTTTTTCAACTAAAGTTAAAAGTTAACAGTTAACAAAGCTTTTATATGTAGCTACAACTGGCCCCTGTATGATGAATTTAAGTAAATGTATTTACTACAGGCAAGGTAAAGTATTTCCGTAATATACAGTAAAAAGAACATATATACCTGGGAATTGGTTGAATAATGAGACTGAACAAGTTGTCTTTACTGCCCAACTTTCAATCTAATTAAAACATGTTTTATGATCACGTGTACACGCTTAGATGTAAACGACGGTAATTGGTGAGCTTAACAAGTGACGCTTTCGACATCACGTACGTTGAACGGAAGTCTAATGCTAATATTTTGGTGTTCGTTGACTGTGAAAAGCAGACTAAATCGCCAGGCTGCCTACGCCACTGTCTGCTTCTGCCTCTTCAATTTTGTGAATGACTATATGTATGGCTATATCGAGTTCTTTCAAAATTCGAGATCTTAATTTACCGCATGATTGTAATTGAAATGAAAATAGATCACCTAAAAATAACTTTACTGTACGTATTCAGTGCACAATATTCAAGTTCACTCATTCAAGAGAGATGTAAGAGTGTCATTTAATTTTGACTTATTCACCGTTTAAGCTAAACGGGCTGGATACAACCGGCCTTTGGAATATATAACGGAATATACATTCCAAGCATTTATTTTGTCTTTTGGTAAACCACATTTACAAAATCAATGCGTGGTCATGCAGACAGTCGTAAAAGACATGCTGGAAAAACAGTTACTCGGCGTCCACCAACGTTACCAACTCTTCTGATTTATAGATCTGAAAAAACAATATAACTTCTTACTTCTCTTCTAACTTTCAGATTCTGATGAAATATGTTTAGTAAGGTCTGCCTTTATTTCACAAGTAAACCTTTTGTTATTCAAATGCTCCACACTCTTTAATTAATAAAATAATAACCCTGACAAGCCATACAGGGTGTATAAAAAAAATCGAATGGAAATTTTGCGTGTAATAATGCAAAATATTTTTGACAAATTTGGTTGATTTTTACACCATTGTTAAGTTCATTTATTTCTCTTTCAAATGACACGTTGTACGTGTAATTTAGTTGAAAAATGAAGAAGTATTGGTCCGAAAAAAAAAGTTCATAAAAATCACCATTTTCCGCTGATGGGAACTGGACGTTTGTTTTATTGAAAATTAGTCCCAAAGGGCTTTAAAATCTAATCATTACTGAAAACTAAAACGCAAATTTATCGCAAAAATTCTGCTTATTCAATGTTCAACGATAGAAGTTTGAGGAACACAATGCCTCCATTAATTAAATTTGCATTTTCTTTTGTCTAGAGGTCTCATTTCGAATTCCCATCGAAAAATTGATTTCGGGCAACAATTTTTAAAAGACGATAACTCGGCCAGTTTTGGTCGCGTGTCGATATAAGAACGGTATAATCGTAAACTAAATAAGCTAATCTTTGTTGCTGTATAAAAATTATATCGTTTACTTTAGTATTTTATACACAACAGCTTCTCAAAGTTGGATTCGAATTTTTTTTATACAGACTGTATATCGCCTAATAGTCTTATATTCGCTTCAGCTAGGAATCTAGTTTTCGCATAATTTTCAGTCTTAATTTTATAATTATGTCTTCCTGTGCCAGCGATAAGGAATTCTTTCTTTGCATAATTCTGTTCAACTTCCTGTTCTCACTGGCTTATAGCTACGTGTAGGAAGATGTCAAGGACATTCAGGTCGACAACTGGAAAGAAAAAATAAACAGTCCCCTCATTTCCAAAACATTTTAAAGAGCTAAACTGCTAAAGTAAAGTGTATAAAATCCAGGCTGTTTTTGAGCTGATCCAATTTTCCACTTATCAAGCAAGTGACACAAGAAACAAATATACGACATGGATATACTTCTTATTAATATGTCGATTTGTTTAGAAATCCACTCATTCGAGGCTTAAGGGCTGTTCATATGACTGACCCAGAAAAAATGTCGAGTTGGTGTTAGGATTAAGTTCAGAGAGCCAGGCTTCAGAATTGGGCTCGAAGAGCCAGGCACTGCATGCCAAGAGTACTAAGATGCTATTCAGTACATTTATAGATGCTCGTATTAGACGATTAATACAACCCTTACATGAAATTGCAAGTATTTCTTTTCAAAATTCAGCCAGTGTAAAGATATCAAAGCTTATAGCAATTTCGCAATTTTAAATGCCAATGCATAATGTTTGTTCAATACAGTGAAATAAACGGATAAATAGCTCTTTCTACCTGTTAGCAAGAAGCAGGGTATATAAAGAAATTGCAAATTACTTAACAATTATGGCAGATTTAGACATCGTAGGGATAGATTAAGTAATTGTTTTATGCAATTATTTCGTTTTCATAGATACTTTACGATTATTAACGATTCATCTACAATAGAAGAACGATTCTAAAGCTAATTGTTTTCAGCTAATGGCAGAACTTGTTTGCATAGACAAGTACCAATGTCGCCAATCTGGCTAAACCGCATAATATACGTTAGTGCTATAATTATATACCTATACTGTTGATAACACAAACCAGCTAGAGCGTGGTATTTTGCTAAGACGTGCAAGACATTTCTTTAGGACGAACTGATAGAACCACATACAGTTTTGAAATATATTTTGAAGCAAACTATAAATTTGACAGAAACGTATGAAAAATACCCCTTTATGTGAATGGACCGGAAATCATTTCGGCTATTCAAACAGGATAAGAAATTAAGCAATTTGCAAAAGTGCAATTTATTATATACGGTATAGTATGCAGCGGAAGTTTTGATATGATTACCACGGAAAAAGCGCATTCATCACTATAAAATGGATAATAAAGTTTTCCCTTCAAATTTCTTGATGGCTAGATGTGTTTGTGATTCGTCAAGACAGACGATTCTATAGTGTATTATATTGTTACCTGCATGCTGTTGATAACGAACGTGTTAAGGCCGGCGCACACTAGAACTATGTGCTTAGCAAAAAGTCATTCGTGGCAATTGGCGTAAGCCAGTTGCTCTCGTGCATGTGCGGGTGACTTTTCAGGCGACTTTGGTCATTCGTGCCACTTACGGCAAATATCTAGCATGTTTGATAATTTCTGCCTGCCGAAATCTTTCCGTGTGCGGCAAACTGAAAGCTATCTGCTTATGGATTGTCTTAACAGCGCATGCGTAATATACGAAAGTAAACATCCAACATGGCGTACAGATTGCAAAAACAAAATTATGGATGAAAATGAAGACGAAGAGGTATTGTTATTTTTGTTGCTGTTGCGTAGGACTAGAAATTTAAATCTAAATTAAAATTAATTAATTAATTTAAATCGAAATTTAAATCCCGCCTTTTTAAATGAGACAGTTTATGAACTCTGGCAAATTAATTAGCCTAAATGTTAACTGAAGCTTTAAGCCATCAAAACAGTGCAAAATCTTTAAAAACTAAAAGTCAAATGCCGAGTCAATTCTTTAATTCGTAATTGCAGTTAGGGACATTAATTTGCTTTAACAAATTATGCATTGACTATATATAATAGTGAAGAAACATGCTAAAAATGACGATAATATAGCTATAATTTTATATAATAGGACACATTCAAGAATGATGCAGTTTATGTTTGCGGCTTTGGTCTTCCTTGCTCATGCAATGAGCATCAATGCTGGAACAAACTTTTATTGGACGTGGAAACTTGATTGCCCTTCAGGTACGTCGACAATTGTATATACGTCATTATTTTGAATATTATTAGACTCGACTTGCAGCTCTTTCTTGTCAGCCATGCAGTGCATGTTTGCTTGAGACGATAGGAAGATTAAGATTAGGGTAAAGATAAAGATTAGGATTCTTACACTCGCGAACTGAACTTAATTTGTTCATAACTATAGGTCAATCTGTCAGGCATATAAGCAGTGTTCATAGCAACTATCATGAGGATCGTTCATGGACATTCACCTGCAGATCTGACCCAGTCACACAAAGTACCTGTTCTTGGTCTGGATGGGTAAATTTGTTTGGCGAAATGATCCTTTATCAATGCAAAGATGGAGTTATTGCGGGTAAGAGTTGAATATAAATGCCTACGCGATATAAATGCCTCTAAAATGACCTAAAAGGTCATTGTGCCTTGTTTGCCTAACAATCTGCACAGGGCGCAACCTCGTTCCCATGCAGCGCCTTTTACCTTGATACTGGGACCCCTCCCCCACACTACGCCCATGTATAACAATTAAGTAACCTTCTTTTTCCAGTTTGCAATTGTTATCTAATCTGATCGTGTTTTAAGGCCTGCAGTTTACATGGTGCGAGTTATCCCGGCCAGGCGAGGTGAAAAGTGCATCACATCAAAGGCTTAACCTAATTACTCTTTCATTATATAATTTATGCAGTTTTCACCTCGCCTAGCCGGGATAACTCTCTCCATGTAAACAGTCCTTTAGACATATTTAATTACGGAAATGAAATAATGGCCTCGTTGCGTTACGGCAAAGATTAATTAACTGGGCAGAGACAGAGATTATCATCAACTAAATCACATTCTTCGTTATCATCAGCAGCCCTCTAGAGCCCGCTTACACAAGATCGCGAGGTATTAAGTAAAGTTTATCTGTATTTAAAGGTGTGCAATCGTACCATAACAAATATCATAAAGACAGAAGATATAGCTTCAAATGCTGTAAAGCCAAAAGTTACACCCGTATTTGTACTTGGACTGGCTTTGTCAACAACTGGGATGGTTATGTGACCTATGGCGTACGTCATAATTATTATCTTGTTGGCCTGTTCAGTTATCACAGCAAAGGCCATGGGTAAGTCTATATTGTCTTAGGATTTTAGAATTCTGCGTCGGATATTTCGACTTCATTTGAATTCTGTTTTGAAAATGACTTTGAAATAAAGTAGGAATATATCACCGTAAAAACTTGTCTTGTTGTCATATCTTGAGCAGCTTGAAAGATGCTTTTCTTCGAAGTGTGCTTTTTCTTGCATTTTCTCGTCTTTTTTATCAGGTCTACTGAAAACGAAGTGAACCAAACGAACTCCATTTTTGAAATAAAATTTTTCTCTCTGCTGAAATGTGCACTTGGAATTTTCACGAGACTTCAAAAAAACACTTAAAATACACAGTTTTCTCGTCCACCCGACATGCACTTGCAGTCAAAGCCGCAGGAATTTTTGAAATATAATCGTTGAAAAACCTAATTTTCGGCTGCAATATTATTTCTGTGGGGCTGTTTATTGCGGTAGAAATTGATAACCATCTGATAAAAGCTAAGCATTCGGTTTAATGTTAAGGTCCCGTTGTTACAATTTTAATTTCAGGGAGACAGAATATGCTCAGGATTCGCGGTCTGTACATGCGCTATTGAAATTTGATTTCTCTAGCTTCTCCCTATATCGGAGCCATTTGCTAGAAAATTTTGATGAAAGACACATGACCACAAACTAAGCCGGAACGTCATATTTTATCAAATGACGTGCCCTCTTTAAGCCAATGATATTTTCAGCCAGGTATTTAACCTGCAAATATTCAACTAAAGACTTTGGAACACAAGCCTGCGCTCATGCAGGCATTAAATCTGATTTCTAATAGGAAAGTGACCGCACCTGTTCTCCAGGGGCCGGTTGTGTAAAACTATCTAACTACACTTTGCAGAGTAAAATCCTAGTTAACAGGGATATACACAACCCTGATTGACCAATTTTGTCCTTAACTACAGTTAATAATTAACTATAGTCTTTTACACAACTGGCCCCAAGACGTTATGGAATTGATATGGCTCATGTTACATTATTTTTTCCTATATAGAGACAGAAGATGGAGATTCCTTACATGTTAACAATGTGGATAAA